TTTGCCAAATATCGTGATACATATCGTATCATGGTCAGAATATCATATTGTATTGTATCGTGAGATTATTGTATCACTACACCCCTAAAAAACACCAAACAGAACATTCTGTCGGTTGCAGATTTATGTTTTTGAATTTTTATTTTGGATCATTAGGAAGTGATCCCCTGAACACTTTTGGTGGATCAAACATGTATTGCACATTCCTACAATGAATGAATAGAAACAAATTATTACATTTGAAGGCTTAACTTTAATCAGTCAAACTGATTTGCTCAGGAATAAATTAGATGCTTTAGTAAACCAAACATTTTACAACTAGATACTACCTGACTGAATAACATCGGTGTTTAGCTTCCACTCATTGGGGAAAGCTAGCAGGAGTTTTTAAAAACAGTGTGCCTTGAGTCAGGCATTCTCTCCTAATAAATCGAACCTGGAACGCCCGGCCAGCTAATAGCTGGCGAGGAGAGCTTGGCTGTTAATGCAGCAGGAGATCTCTGAAAATGTCGGCACAATATTGCAAATAGGTGATGCATTGATGAATGGAGCAGATAAGTGTAATATAGCAAAATAATTTGTCGCTCATCACCGCCGCTTTGCCTGAACACTCAGTTTGAACCCACAATGAATTAAGGGATATGGTGGGCTGTGAAGGATACACCAGACCCATCCTTCAAATCTGGATAAAAGAAGGATGCATTTTGAGGCCACAATTGAAGGAGTCTTTTAATTAGGACAGGCCTTGTCGCCACGCTGTGACGCAAGCCGTCTATAAATCCACCCTTCGAAGGATGCAGCCCTCGAACTTGGACACGGGTCTCATGTGTCGTTATCAACTGTTAGTGGATACAGCTTCAATTTTATGTCACATTCAGGATGAAGGATGAGTAGTCCATTAATCTCTAGTATTTTCTCTGAGAGGGCGGGCTTTGGTCATGTCAGTGTATCACAACAATGTTTGAAGCTGTGTTCCATGATAACGCATAAAAAATTTGGAGCAGATCGGATGATGCATCAGGGAGAAATGGCTGTTAGAAAAACCTAGGGGGCGTCATGGAGTCAAATTTCAATATAAAACACTTGAGCTCTATATAGGTTAACAAAGGTCATTCATAAACAGTTTGGTGCAAATTGGATGATGCATATACGCTTTAGAGCACTTTAAGATTCTACATTAACCCAGTGAAGTGGTCATCTTGTTCTAGACACCCAATTCCAAGGATCTTTCACCATTTACAATCTCTGCAAATGGCGAGAGACTGAAATTCCCATTCTGCCACACCCACACATTTCAGCCAACAGCCAGTGTTGAGAGTGTTCATCATCATGTGTTTTTATGTCACTTGGCACAGGTTTACACCTATATGAATCAAAGAGTAAAAGTAAGACATCCAGTAGAAAAAGGCTGAGGTGATATCACCAATTGACCATGTCAATGTACTGAGGGGTGGTCTGTAACGAGACAAAGACAATCACCGTTTTGATAACCATTATTCAGCCATGCCTTATGAACAAACTGACCAAGTTTGAAACTGACAGAACTCCTCCTAGAGATTTCAATCTATCAAATGCAGAGGCTGTGAACGGCGAAAATGGGGTGAAAATCCAAAATTCAATCCAAAATGGCCGATTTCCTGTTGGATGTAGTGCATGCGTGCAAGAGACTTTTCTGTAGTGTGTCAAATTCTATGCCTCTATGATAAAGTGAGGTCAATGCGCTGGGTGTTTTGAAATTTGCCTGGTGGAGCTGTTGAGCCATTTTGTTGTAATTTTTGCAATGACATTAAAATACATCATTTTCATGCAGGCCTGATTGTGTCCACAAAGTTTTGTGAGTTTTCAGATATGTTAAGGCTAGGGATGCAAGATATTGGAACATTGGTCGACATTCGATATGCCAATATACTAAAACTCCTTTGGCTGATAACCGATACCAATACCGATATTTTTTTACTATATATATTTACTGAAACTATATGGCTTTCTCTGGTGTGGAATTAAAATATTGCATCATCTTTGTCAATTTAGCCTGCTGCCAAATGCAAAAGCTAAAATAGAGGCTGAAAATGATGCAACACTTTCAGCTTTAATGTTTAATGTCAAATTTATTCATGACGTATGCTCTTTCTAAGACAATGACACTCAAACAGTGCAACTTGTCAGTCATATAAAAACTACACCTTTTATGTCAGTGAGTTATTTTGATGGAATAGTATATTAAATTTTACAGCTAATATCTGCCGATACCATGTCAATCATATTATGCATCCCTAGTTAAGGCCTTCAAAAAGCCAATTCATTTGACGGATGAATCGTCATCAAAGCTGCAAGCAGCCTTATGTGGCCCTCGCAGCTCACTGCCGCTGCAGCCTAGCGGCGACTGTGTGAGTTCCAGCACCGCCATCCCATTGCTGTGGTCAACACTCTTGACCACTGTTGAAACCAACATCAACATGTTTACTGGACACTCTTTCATGTTGTGTAGGTCAAAGGGGTCAGACAGAGACCGATCAGAGACATTACACTTCCTGTTTGCATTGGCCGTGGCTGAAATGATGTCATCATTTGCCCATTGAATATTGTAGGGAACCTTATGGTGATCAATCACCAAAGGTTTGGTGTCACTATAAGTTTTTGTGTAGGAGATAATTTCGTGTTTCATGGCAAAATGTGAAACTTTGAGGCCTGGCCTTCAGCATGCAAGAAAATTCACCGATTTGTGACTTTGGATGATGTCAGTTGGTTAGTTTGTTCATAAGGGATGGCTGAATAGTCATCCCTTATGAACAAACCGACCAAGTTTGAACTCAATTGATCAAAATCCCTAGGAGGAGTTTGATCAAATCTTAAGTACAACAGATTCAATCGTATCTTGTGTGGTGTCCAGCCACATGGCAGGAGCAACACACCACACATGAACTGATTTCACTCACAAACATTCTGATTCCAGACACAAAATTCTGTAACACCCCACCACATCATACATCAATTTACAGTAAACAAACATGGCCAACAATGTACAAACAATAGCAATAAAAAACATAACAAAAATAAAAGGCATTGGATAAAAGAGTGGAGACAGCACGAGCAGAAGCTGCACAAATATATGGAGGTGAGTTCTGTTTTTTTTTTCATCATTAACTTTTGTTACACTGTGTTTAGATAGTTTTTGTTCTGTCGTTTCATTTAGCGTCACCGGTTAATTATATGATTAAGTTTTTACTGTTATGGTGTCCACAAAACAATGGATAAGTCTACTAATTTTAAAATCTTACCGTGTGAACCAGTCATCAGTAAATGTTTTACTACTCAAAACTACAATCTACCTGCAATGCATGTAGATTGTAGTTAAAAGCCGTGGCTGAATTAATAAACTTATCCTTATAACCAACTTATGTCAACAGATCATAATTAATAGTAATCTGTCTTTTGGACATGGTTGAAAAGCAACAAGTAAATGGCAGATAAGGGCAGTCAGCATCAAAATCAGATCATTGTCCAATTTTGATGAGGTGAAACATATTGACATGCATTGTTTTTACAATTTTTTTTGCATTTTTAAAAAACTGTTTTAAACACAAAACTGTTTTAACTCAGCAACTTCACAAATCATTCTATTCGGATGTCCTCAAAAAGCAGAGTTTGATGTATTAAGATTTTCAGGACGCTTCATTCATGCTCTTCCACCAGTTCATTCATACAGACCCACCATTACTCCGGGAAGTGGGGGGGGGGGTCATAGAGGGACCTGACTGTACGTACCATGGTCAGCACAGAATTAGGGTTTGTGATTACTTCTGATGACAAGCACTAGTGGCATATTGTCCTAAAGAAGTGACAAGAAACCTTAAAAAAAAACAAAAAAAAAAACAGCAAGATCAGAAAAGATGAAAATGTACACGTTTAAAATGATGAGATGTAGTATTTTACATTCAGCAGCTTTGAGCAAGATCAGATTTCTCATGAAAATATGGTAAGCATGCAAAATACATCTACAGAATAAGAGTAAGTCTGTAGTTTGGTCAAACGGATAACCTTTGTAGAAATATACATTTTATAAGCTGCATATCAACAATGGCTCATACTCTGATTTTTCTGGTGACATTCAAATTGCTAAAGACACATGCATGCAAATCCACTGGAGCACAGCAGCAGGACAACACAATATCTACACTAAATAAGCCACTATGAATAGCAGAATAATAACAGAAAGCATCAAAAATGGATTTCATTCGGAAATCACCTACTGCTCTTAATCCGCCGATTAGGATGCAAACGTTCGCTCAGTCACAGCAATGCTTTGTCCCTACTGTAAAATGCTGGTTATGCCGTCAGGCGCCAGGCAGCCATTTAGGTGCATATGGAGCTAGTTGAGTCTCCACGTAAATGGCTGATGCATTTAGATTTTTTTCTTCCTAATTGCCGAGGGCCATCAGGACTCGGGGCCTCCTCCTGACGCGTTTAAAACCGCCTCTCTCTGCAGTACAGCTGGATGAACCATGTAAAACATCTCGATTCGTTACTGTGCGCATTTAAACGTCAGTGTTAAGTAGGCTTTTTAGATGAGTACAGCTCTTTCTCCAGTCTTCGGTCAACCCCTTGAGACTCTGGATCAAACAATGAAAAGAACTGGAGGCTTTCCAAAAAAAACGCTTCCATCACAACGTCATAAAATCTCTGTTGACAATGCTATTATAAAAGAAAACAAACACAAAACACCGCAGCCGTCAAAACAACAATACCAATTTTCCTATGACTCGATACCTTTAAAGGTAAATGAACAGTTCGAGGCGGCGGAGCTGGTCGCAAAAATGTCAGCCTGCATCAATAAATAGCAAAGCCAATGCACTCTATTGTCTGATAGCATATCAGCAAATCCACCGGCAGAAAACCGACACAGCAACTAATTAGCCGTTCTACTGCAAATCGAACTCCATAGTCGAGTTTTTAAAACATCTCTGCCCAAAGCCAGGCCTTGCGCAAGTCCTCGGACTCACCTGTGTGTCGTTTCGCCTCGGTGTGTACCGTCTCCGGGTTCACGGTCCGGTCCCCCTGACGCGCTGCAGCGGATTCTCACCACCAGTCCCCGGCACCGGCAGGCAGCACTGACCCGCTGATTGGGCCTCGACAGACTCTCATCCCTTCGTTGCAAACAGTAGGAACGCTCATTGGTGAGACAGTTACTCATGAAAACCAGACAAACAAACGAGTGGCTGCTCGTTTCTAAAGCAGACTCAGGCGGATATTTGATTGGTCAGTAATTTCCGCGGTGAAGAGGAGAGAAATTTGATTGGTCAGGGGGACTCCTGTTGTTTGTGTGTGGACAGAGAGCGGCGTTACTTCGAGAGGAGCTAAAAACTATGTTTTTGATTTTAGGAGGGCTTTCAGGAACTTTCACGAGTCTCTATAATATGTTACAATACAACTATTTGAAGAGTTTCCTGGATTAGGCGAAGCTAAATTTATTTGCTCTCAGTTTAAAGCCGGAAAATAATATTTTATTAAACCACCCTATATTTTTTTGTTAAAGTACAAAAGATTGAAGGCAGATCAAACATTACTGTCAACTCAGAAGACGTGGTTTTAGTAATGTCATTACTTAGGAAAATCCAATCATTATAAAGCCGTGAGCACTGCAGAAAGCTCCCGAGAGATCTTTATCATGCATTTAACATAAAATGAGGTCATTTTTTAACCAGGAAATCTATATGATTTTCTGTAAACATGCTAATCATTCTTAGTGACAATCAGCCCATACACACACACACACACACACACACAC